TCTACAGATCCACAATCTGCATGCAATGAAATAGCTTCTAGAAACTTCCTACACGTACCTACCTACCTATTTGATTTAATTAAATTCATCAAACAGCAATTCCAACTATCATCATATTGATTAAAGTGGCGTGGTTTTGTGCAAATAATATCCTTGGATCCTGTTTAGTTTCAATATTAAAACCAATCTTGCCGAAATTGCTTTAGAGTTTCGATAAGTATATTGATTGATAATATTTCGTAAATCTTATTGATATTTAATTAAATATATCAAAGGTGTATAGAAATAGACAAAATGACACAGAAGTATATTACTAGACATAAATAAAAATACACTACCACCACGCCGAGAAAGCAATACCACAGTATAAAAATGTAGCAATACACTGGCGAACGAACATAAAATAAACGTTTACGATTCCCTGCATTAAAGAATTCAGTGATTTGTTTAAAATCAAGTATGTTTAACTTATTTTAAAACAAACTGTAGAGTTGCAGAGAATATTTGAATAGTTCATTGTTTGAAAACTTGGAAAAGAATAGCAGTTTGAAGGGCACTTCAGTAGAAAGTGCTGAAATCGCTCCACGTGCATTAAGACGCTCTAGAGCTGCTATCGACAATTCTATTGTCTCCTGTCGACTGTGCAACAATTTCAAGAACTATTTTCATTTCAACAAGTTATTCACCTGTTTGTAGGATCTTCCAACCAAATTGTTTTACTTCATGATGATATTCTATTGTAAGGTAGTAAGTACGCATGCACAAAATTTTACACCGCTATGAACGCCGTATTAAATACATTAGTATGTTTTTGTTGATCTGTATCTAATAGCGTCTATCTTATTAAAACGGCTTAAGCAGAATTAGAAAGCACAGAATTATTATTTTTATTTTGAATAGCAGAATAAACAGGTAGAGGTTTAAGAAAACACATTTGAAATCCCGTTGCTAAGACGGCAACAAATCGGCAATATTGAGTACGTATTAATTCAAACACCTACGCGATTACTCCCTCGATGCCGTCTGTTCAACAGGAAGTTGGTGCGAAGTTATATAACACAGCCACAAGTACCAACATCACACGCTCCAATTAAATTGAGTTGTACATGATAGCGTGATAAGCCTTCAAAGGCCCGGCAACCTAGAGCCGCTGCCACCAGCTAAGATTGAGACGTCAATTCATGAATAGTGGAACACTGTACCACGTTTCTAATCGGCGGCGACCGAATCGAATCGAACGTACATATGTATGGTAATCGATTACTGTGTATTTCTGCTTTATACCTACATATTAACATCAATTTTGTTTAACACTTTAGACTATTTATATTTCTGCACTTTTCAATGTGCATCCTACGCAGGTCACACCTACGCAGCTGGATTAACATAATATATTAAGTTTATGTAAGTGTATAAGAATATGCAAGGTTGTCCTCTGTAAGCCGTTATTATGTGGTTTTATTAAAATTAGCACTAGAATAATAAATTATTAGACAGATGTGACATATTTTTTACTCCCATTAGGTAGAAAAAAAATTTAGTCATGTGTTTACATATAGGATTTTTTTTTATGTAATAGCTGGGCAAACGAGCAGACGGATTATCTGGTGGTAAGCAATCAGCGCCGCCCATGGACACTCGCAACGGAGGAGTTACGAGTGCGTTGCCGACCCTTTAGGGATTAGGGATTTGGAGATTTAGGGATTGAGGAGGGATTGGGGAAGGGGAAGGATTGGGCCTCCGGTAACCTCACTCACACGGCGAAACACAACGCAGTGGTTATTTCACGCCGGTTTTCTGTGAGGCTCACTCCGGTCGAGCCGACCCATTCGTGCCGAAGCATGGCTCTCCCACACTTAAAATCTTTTTACCTATTATAAAAAAAGGTTCTAGTGCAGGTACAAGGAGTTCTGTACCTAATTCAACAAAATCTGTCTAAAATCTGCCTTACGTACATAAATAATAAATACGATCTTATTCTTACATAATAATTGTTTTATAGCCACTTAATTTCGCAAAAACGTCGCAGAAATTAAGTCACATTCTGAAGGTTCCCTGATAAATGATAGTAAATGATGCTAATTGTGTTGCTGATTGCTGAGGGAACAAAAGCTGGGAGCTAATGTTATGTGTCAGACAGTGGGCCGGACATTACGATCTCTGTGTTTATTCTTTTGTCTCGGAAAAATTAATGGCGGAATAAAAGTAAAGTTAAACTCTTAGTTACTGTTTTTGTTAAAAGGAAACCTAAATTTAGAATAAATATTTTAGAATGTGGAAGAGTTTATTTTTTAGGAGAAAGAAGTTCCTTTTCTAATATCTTGCTTAAATGTAACAAACTTGTCTCAAAGCTAGTGTAGGGCTAAAACTCGATGTAGATCTTTCGACTCAGTTGGTGAACATACGTTGCATTAAATAATATTTTTGAGCGCCTGCATGTTATTAACTAGCAACTCGTTTTTCTTGTATGACTAACTTCATCGAGTGTTTACGTCGACTTCTTCAAAGATTCAGAATAATTTGAAACGACGTAAAACAAATAAGCTCTTCTACTCACCATTTTTCTATTTGTCTATTAAGAATTACCTTCCAACATACTGACTGAATATTTTTGAAGATGATCAATTTCAAAGAAATACAAATAGGTGCTGCTGGTTTGTGTAATTTCGTTTTATAAATACTTTAGGTAATGCAAACTTTTGTAGGATAAACATATGGTAAATGCTAGTTTAAAAAAATATTTAGGTCTTCTGCTTTTTTTTTCAAAGCTGTAACTCCATCGTAGTAACTTGTATCAATTAAGATAGGACGTGTGAAGCTATCGAGCCAGGAATAGCCGACACGACGGATATTACGGTGTATATTTCACGTTTTACAGCCCCGGATACTTGATCGGTTCCGGCTACCGCTTGGCAGTGTAACAAACACGGCTTAAGCTTAACAATATAGGATGAAACTTTATCCAGTTTATACAAAATCACATTTTCTTTGAATGCATATAAAGTGGAAACTCGAACAAACCGTTAACTCCGCAAATCCTACTTTCCCATATTTTTTTATTATTTACTCTTTTCCAAGAGATTATCTGACTTACTTTCTTGTATAGGAGAGTTTTGAGGCGCATTTTATTTTTAGAAAATACATCGATCAAAAATACACCGTGCTTGATGGAATAGAAATAATCCTAATACCACGAAAAACGCCAAAAAATAAGAAGAAACGGCATTATTTTGTTAAAACATATGAATATATAATATACTCACCAAGTTAGTTATTTTGCGTAAGCATTATTGAGTTTTGCTGTGAAGTAGCTAGCTTAGATGTATAGGTCATGTGTACTTACTCAAATAAGTCAGTTAATAAAAGCAGTTGACGCACCGGTACTGTTACTTTGCCTGCAGATGTTCTAAAATGTAGCACTGTTTTAAATATTTTGAAAATAAATAAGACTGTGATAAGTCTTTATAATTCTTAATTCTAAGCTCAGACACAACTATGTAACCATGATTTTGATCTCAGAAATCGCGTTAGCAACCAGAATAAAAAATTCAAAGTACATTTTATATTTGATGATGTTCTAATGGCTGTCTTTGCTCGTCAGTCATCCGGGACACACTATTTCACTGCCGTTGACAACAGAAAATTTTCAAAAGTTCGATTTACCAACGCAAAAATCTCGAGAGCACTCATCGTCACTCATCGCCGAAGACTTTATCGACTATTTTTGTTGTAGGTACAAGATTTTGATTTCTGTGAATTTTTAAATGAGGATAAATAATCTCGGTAGATTCTAATCTGAGATACATTGTTACCAAAATTTAATTCGGATTAAAGCACTTTATTTATCAATGGAAATTTTTCTATAAATAGGTACTACTTCGAGATGGAATGGATTCAAGTGTGGGAGAGCCATGCTTCGGTACGAATGGGTCGGCTCGACCGGAGTGATACAACGGCCTCACAGAAAACCGGCGTGAAACAACCACAGTGTTGTGTTTCGGCGTGTGAGTGAGGTTACCGGAGGCCTAATCCTTCCCCTTCCCAATCCCTCCCCAGTTCCTAAATCTCCAAATCCCTAATCCCTAAAAGGTCGGCAACGCACTCGTAACTCCTCCGTTACGGGTGTCCATGGGCGGCGCTGGTTGATTACCATCAGGTAATCCGTCTGCCCGTTTGCCGAACTATTACATAAAAAAAAATGGTTCTTATGTGTGTAGGCAGGTACACATAGTCTGAATTCATGCGTTTCACTACAAATGGCATTGTTCATAAGACTATTGTATTAGCAAACTTGTTCTTTGTTACTTTTCCTCTGAATATCCCTTATTAGTTGCTTTGTGTGAGAAACGAGCATATACCGTGTGTAAAGGTTGTATGGTTCTTCGGGAGCTAAGTGTATTACTTTGGGCAAACACATACATAATATGCAAAATGATGGTTCTAAATTGAATCGAATTAAAGGGTTTGAGGGCTCTTATGGGACTTAAAGTTTTTTACTACATTGAATTAGATAGTAGTAAGGTATTTTTTTATTTCTATGTTCTTTCATATTGATTTTAATTATTACACTTTTGATGTTACAAAAGTTTCGATCATTAATTTTACACCAAGAGTTGTTCTAATAGTTTAATTGTTACCAAGTAACAAAACGAGAATTTACTGTGAATTGTTATTTTAATAAACACCACTTAAAGTTTAGGTAAGCCTCTTAAACAGATAGAGAAAGTTTATTGTTTTATTGTTTGAGGGGACTGTCTATATTTATTGAAATTTCTGTACCGTCAAAGGTCATCAAGTAGATGAAACTGTAAGCAATACTTTCATAACGAGTGTGCTCGTTATAACCTTAACACTGTTAAAAATATGTTGTATTCTATTTTTGCCAACAATAATAATGGATATGTCGGGCGGGCGACAAGTGAAACGTATGTATTGAGAGATTGGGAGGCGTGTGAATGTTACAACATTTTCTTTAGTGAACCTCTCCGCTCCGCTCGTCGCTCCGCTTGTCGCTGTGCTCGCCCGCTGCTCGACGTGCGACGGCTCGACCAGTCACTATGAGACGGCCACAGCGGTAGCACGCGGTACTTCACTCGACTTTACGCTTTCCGCTAAACAGACACGATTTCAACGCCCGTAAAAAGTTACGATGAATTATTTTAATGCAATTATAGTTATTCCAGTGATACAGTTCATGTTAAAACTAAGATTTAAGGACGAATATTAAGTTATGAAGTTAATTCAATGCTAAATGCTGTAATGTTTTTTTAATATTTGTGATGATGAGAGATACAACTTTGAGATTTCACATTAACATTTGAAGAACGCTACGTAAGTATTGTTTTGATAATTTATATATATATTTTAGGTTAAATTGTATTTTTTATTTCTTGTAATTTTAAACTTTTTTTTTTATTTTTTTTAATTGTTTAATTTATTTTTATAGGCCCTTAATTACTCATTTAAAAATGATATAATTTAAAAGTAAAAATATATCGTTATAAATTATGTTTGTTTATATAAAAAAGTGATATTCACGCATTTGTCTGTCACTTGTACATATTTAATTAACTAATAATAGTAATGGTCAGTTTGCATGAAATAAACTCCTGGGAGACCGCTAGCACTTCGTCGCGGGATCAATCGTCAATTGTAGCATAGGACTAGGAAGTATATAAATAAATTGAAAAATATTTTCAATGCACAAAAATGTTATCTTACGGTCGAGTATACCATACTTTATTGTAAGGGAATCTTAATGGCTCTCTAAGGGTCCCTGAGAGTACTTCACTATCCACCTTTTCACATATTTCGCTGGATAACCCTTTCAAATAGGGAGAATTGAAACCTGCTTATTTAGGATCACAATACGTTGAACTTATTATATGGTACGTGTAAGGTATTGTGATATGAAAATATGGATATCGTAAGACATTTTTGTAAAGGTTTATTGTGTTATTTTCTATGTATATTCCATACACGGTTTATTTTTAAAGTATCGTGTTTTAATTTAAACTATATTTGTATACTAAATATATCCACTAAGAATAAGGCACATTATTTAACTTGAAAAGTACTTACCTACTACTCTCCGTTTCATGTTTCATTCAGTACGCTTGCAAAGTGCTTGGTGGCATCACTTAAATTAAATTTTATGTTAAAGTGAATATGTTAACAGCTTCTAACTCGTTTCTAAGTAGAGGAAATAACTTAGTTTCTGAATGTTTTTTCTCTGAGCTTTTCACACTCGAATGTACGCTGAATGCGGCCATTTTCCCGAAAAACTTCCCTGAATGGGTCCACATGTTCTACAAGTCAATTATCCAGTGAATGGTTAGCTGAACGAATGGGTAAAAACCTATATGTACTAACCTTTTCACCAACTTTTAAATTGCAGCTTTTGATCGTAAATCTAATTATTTGTGTTTTGGAAGATAAGTGCGTTCTCGTAGTGTTCTATTATTGCTATGTCGATAATCGATTTGTGGAAAACCTACCAATATTGTTCTATTAATAAAATACTAAATTAGTTGTGACGTTGATGTCTTTACGCACCTTTTGTGATTGTTGAAAACAATGTTATAAGTATTTAAATTGTCAATTTTACTTTGCAAAATTTATTTTTCGATCTTTCAACCTCCATTAAATTTGTAATTTGTTAACGAAAAATGTCATTGCTTTTCATATTTATTAAAGCTACATCAGATGTATAAGCATTATTGCTTACCTATAATAAGCTCAGTCTAGTTAAAATGTAATAACAAAAAAAAACTTACGCCAATTAGCAGCATTGACGTTTTCATCCAGGTAAACTACATACAAAATTAAAAAAATACCTCGGTATGTAGGTAGTGCATTAAACAAATATACATTCCTGTTATTTATGTATAACTTGTTGCGCTGAAATTAACTTTTAGATAAATGGTCAGCAAGTGCAAATAGACTGAAAGGAAATGTCCGATTAACTAAAAATAATTGCACAAACAACGCACGGTATTTTCATCTCAAGTAAACCAACGAGTTTTCTCTCTTGTTTTTGTAAATTTAATTGTATCTTGCGATTATTGCATAAATAAACTGTTTTAAATAGTTTTGGGCTGTGGGAAACTAGTTCCAATTTTCCCACTGATTTCATCTAGGCATGATAGGTTTTAAACTAGTTTTTTGCAGCCCTTGATTGAAATAAACGGAATCTGATAGTGATAAATGGCTTACTGGAAAAAAGCCACTATGCGCTAAATTGAAATTGGAAAACGTTCGCTATACAAAACCATCGACCGCACCCTCATCCGTTCCCAAACCATAGATAGAGTGGCAAAAAGTAAAAACACTTTGTCTAGTTTTTTTTAAACGCTGAAAATGCGGGCTGGCGAAAAAGTAAAAAGCCATAGTGCACATGTAACAAGAAATTAAAATGTATTATTATATTTTCAACTTTTCGTAATCCATAATTTTCTTTATTTTTAAATATTACATAAAATGAATTCTTTAAAATGAATATGGAAATGGTAGATCACAACAACGCTGGTTTTTGATTAAAAACTGAATTTTTTTGTGAACAATATCGTGTCTTAATATATTGTGTATTGTTCAAGGAATTTTATCGAAAATCTTGTTGTACAAATTGTTGTTGGATAAAAACTGTTATCCGTAGGTACTTACCTTTAGTACGCTACCTGCAAATATTGGAAAATAATTTTCCTCATTATCCTGCGAATTTGATCCAAGGTTGTCGTTGTACGTGATCAATACAACTTTTTCCTGTTAAGATCATTCTATATTGTAACTATACAGGGGACCAACATTAATCAGATATGTCTCAGTAAAGTGCACTCACGCGACTAATATTGTTTGATTTTTGCACGATAGCTTTTCGGCTAAACCAGACATTGGATAAAGTCAATTATGAAAGTCGTTATTTTTTGCGAATTGTAATAATGTGTTACGGTTTCTTCATAGAAAAGTAGTAGGTACCTAAGTGTATATGAAACATAACATTAACCAAAATCTATCAAGTGTTGAATGTTTTAAAATCCAATTTATTTTAGGCGACCTACGTTCTTTGTTTCTCTTCTTTAAAGGAGTTGAAACCCACCATAAAATAAATGGAACTTCATTAATTAAACGTTACTATGGTAACAAGAGATTAGCCGCTAAGTCCTTGTAGCCAGTCTCTAGACCAATTCTTAAAGAAAATAATTGCATTTTAATCCTGCCTAACTTTAGACAGATTGTATTTATGGTCTGGCCAGAATATAGAAATATAACATTTCTTTACATCTCATATCCCTCCCTTATCCCTGTACCACCAAAACCCTAATCCCCAAAAGTCCGGCAACGCACTCATTACTCTTCTGATGTTGCGGGAGTCCGATTGCTTACCATTTGTCTGACGGTTTGCCGATTTTTCCATAAAAAAACACATTTAATTTCTATCTGAACATTGCTTGTTGTGAAATAGTTGCAACCCAACATGAATATTTAATGTAGGTGGTTGTTTTTTTTTTCATATATTTTGAGTAGGTTTATTAAAAGTCAAAAACTATTAACAAGGGCGATGGCCATGAGTAAGTTGAAGTTGAAGCGTCAAAGAAAATGTCAAGTAGAAACATTGTAATGCGATATGCAATTATAAGTTCATCTAGTCACATAATTGAAAGTCGTATTTTTAGCTTCGCAAACAAACTAAAGTGACTGAAAATAAGAATAAAAAATAGGCTTGATTTAGAATAATACTTACTAGCTTATGCTCGTGACTCATTTCGCGTGGAAAAGTGACTTCCTGCAGATTTTTGGTATAAAAACTATCCTATGTCGTTTCTCGAGTTCCAAACTACGCCTGTACCAAATTTCAAAGAAATCGGTTTAGTAGTTTAAGCGTGAAGAAAAGACAGATAGACAGAGTTACTTTCGCTTTTATAATATTATATCGATAGTATAGATTTTCACTTCAATATACTGCTTGAAGTTAGAAACAATTTGTTCTTTGTTATTTTATAAAATGGAAATTATTGCTTAGATTTTCGAGGCATGAAAAACTGTTCCTATAATTGATATTCATGAAATAATTCAAGTCTTAAGTTGCAAACTTCAGACAGCGGTTTCTCTGGGTAAGATCAGACAAATAGGCCGCAATATATCACAGATGACCAATTTGCTTTAAACCGCTAACAATTCATATTATTCGTAGGCATAGAACCGATTCATATCTTGAGATATTATGAGAAGGATAATAGAGAGAACATCTTAGCGAAGTTTGTTCATGCGACTAATTCTCTATGATTCAGCGTTCCGGGGGATTTGGAGCGAATTTTGAACAGAGTCTTGAAAAAACAATATCTTAGAACTATGAAATATTTGATATTTTGTTAAGGAAATGTAACGTTTAAATGTAAAATTAACTCTAACTTTAGAAATTTATATAGGCACCTATACACATATGTAACAGTTTTTAACTAACGTGGCTATAGGAGAAAAAGCCAAACATAATTTCGTATTTGAAAAGTTAAAAATTTAACTTAGTAAGGAGTCAAGTGGAGAACACGTGTAGGGATATTCTATAATAAATAAAAAAATATCACATATTTGTACATATAAATACTTATGTATACTAAACGAATTTATCTAGAGCTCAGTGAAGAAAACATAACCTATTAAGATAAGTAAGAGAATTCCCAAAACTCGTTGAACATGGATTATGTCAGCCTTAAATGTATCTTTGGATTTGAAACCATACTCATTTCAATTTAAGATGTAAAATTAATCGTAATTGCACGGAGTAAGAACAAAGAGTATATGTAATCATACGCGAACTCGGCTTCCATTGGTTAGCACGGTATTAGTCACAATGTGAGTACTTCCTTAAAGTATTAAATATCTTTTTAAATTTCTATTTCTATTTAAGCCTCAGTGCTTCCCTTTCCTAGGTTAAACTAAATCCGAGGTTTAATATAGATGTAATAAAATTCTAGGTTAAGAAAATTTTTATATTTATCGAGTCGATTAATGTTACGAAGTTTTTAAATAATTCCCTTCGACTAAAAGCTGAGAATTTATTTCGTTATGTTTATGCGCTTTGCAGATATACGTAGGAGGTAACTAGAATAGTTGAATCTAGGAAATCTAACTTCATAGCTCTAAGAGATACCTATCAGTATTTTATAATAAAATTACGAACGTTCTTGAGTTTGATTGCCATTTAAATAAACTTGTTATCCACTACAGGTTCTTAGTTTACTAAAATCAATATTCGAGCCATTTCTCAGGAGGTTCTATTAAAAGATAGTGAAAAAGCATCAAGCAAGCAAAGCTGGAAATATTCCGTTTTTCGC